ACTGGTGGACAAAACACTGTGAGAACGAACGCAACTCTCCGTAGTTGAGGGCATAAATGTATGTTTAAACCTCAGTCACTTAGTTTTTTACTCAGTCATATGCACTCAAGAATAAGGGAGCTCCAATATCCCCGATTTCGGTCGATGTGTACATGGAAGAATTTGGGCAGAAAGCTTTAGACGGATTTGAGTGTCCATCGAGGGTTTTATGGCGCTACGCAGACGACACGTTCGTTTTGCTAATGCATGACAACGTTGACCAATTCTTCAATAGCTTAGCACTCTGGATCCTCAAATTGAGGTTAGCATGGAGCTAAGATCCACATCGAATGTACTACCCTTCCTTGACTGTATGATACAACAGTTGTGAGAAATTCAAAACGACCGTTTACCGCAAATCAGCATATAGTGGGGGTGCGGTCCTAAACGGCTCCTTAGCAAACCCAAGAGCCGTATGTGCTAGTTCAGTTTCAGCACTTTTAGTGGAGTGAGAACACTGTACACAGAGGGGGTCGACCGAAGAGCAGCTTAACTTGAGATAAAAAACGACTTCAAGACGACAGATACCCAGTAGGTTTAATTAAGCGGCAACCAAGACCCAACAAGGAGGGGAGTGGATTGGAACAGCAGTCAGCCCATACAACACAGTGATATCTGAAGTCATTCGAAGGATGTTGAATACGGTTCACATTAGGGTGGCATTCCAGAAGGGAAAAACTTTACGCTTTGTATGGTACGGTTGAAGGATCGCCTTCTAGTTGATAGGACTAGGGATTGTATACACAAAATAAGATGTAACGACTGTACGAAGGTCTATATGGGTCAGACAGCCAGGGAAATGCACACCGGAATCAGTGATCATAAGCGGTGCATTGACAGACCACTCGGGAACGTAAATGAATGTCAGGCGATAATCAAAGATTCAGCAATGGCAAGGTATGTATTGGACACTAGGTACAGGATAGATTTGGAAAATGTGGGCATTCTAAAACGAGGACTAAGTATCATACCATAGTGACTGGTAGTCTAGGTGGTGGGAATGGCCAGCCATACCAGCGCGAATAGAATAGAGGGCGTAGAACTGACAAGCGTGTGGAGAGCGATTTCAGATCAACCGACATGACACGAGGCGGCGTGCAGTTGTCGGAAAAATGGTCCAAGTCTTAAAGTACAAAATCCAAGTAGCATCAGATTCATGTAACAGCCCTTCTTTCAACCTCAATCTGTGAACGGCAGCAAAGATGAATATTCCAGTAAGATATCACAGACTGGAAAAGCGTGGTCGCATAATCAGTGTGAAGGCAATCCCCACTGTTAGTCATCCCCGCTGACCAACAGAGAAGAACTCCAGAACGACACCCAGCACTGGTCAAGTCGATTAGTCATAAGAAATCTCACGGACTGGTCCCCTGACTGTCTTAAAACCCAATTAGCCTGGTAACACGTTCACTTGGCCTTATGTCAGAAGCGAAACGTGTCCTAGCTAACAAATTTAGTGTTCGCTAACCAAACTCCTCTGAAACGACGCGTTTCTTCTTTTAGCGGTCGACTTCAACTGCGCGAGAAGATCGCTTTAAGTGGTGAAACTGGAAATGTTTGTTTAGTTTTGAATATTTGGCCTCGATGTCGGAATCAAAAGTGGGGTGACCCACACCGGACATTTTGGAAAGACGAGCATGTGAGCCTGATGCTTTGTGCGATGGAGCAAGACCGATGGCTTCTGAATATCTTTGGCTCCTAGTTTTATAAACTACATCGGCGATCTTGGTCGTACTTTTCTAACCGGTTTTCCTCACGTAGAATGCAGCGGTGCTGCATTGATGGACGTAAAAACGCTTGTTTTCTTAGGTAAAGCGTCGTACAGTTCACCTGTTTCCGTCGCAGTCAACACGTCAAATCCGACCCACATGGCCACTTTTTGTGTTTTCTCACAATGTGACAGCTCGTTGCTCCTCATGGACTTTATTCACACAGCTGGGTCCAAAGTACGTCCCGGCCATTTTAGAGTGCAGGAACTCCGAGAGGAAACCATCACGATAGGATGATAGCTTTTTTACAGATAACTACCAAAAGCAAAGTGACTGGTTAAATGGTATTTCAGATATTTTCCCCAGTCCCACTGATGTACTGACCCCTGCGACAGACCACAGGACAACGGATACAACTCTTAGTTCGCCCCCGACGGTCACCGATCCATATTCTTCAGACTAGAGCCAGTCATACAGAACAACCAGTTCTTGCTTGTTTTCTAGCGAGTACAATAAGGAATGTCATGGAAAGCATATAGCATCGCAAAATACGTTCATCGCAGACATCTTTTACTGCCAACTTGGCGCTTAGTTTCATCCCGTATTTCACAGGAAGGGCTTTTCTCTATAGAACGTTCGAAAAAGAGCAGCACAGGGTCGTCGGGAAGCGCACGCCAGATATGCTTCCGTTATCCAGAAACGACATTTCCAATCAGTAGTTACATATCTACATTAAACGGATTCTCCTCACGTTTCACCATCTATCTGGATGTGTCAAAAGCAAAACGTGAATTCCCTTGGAGTAGACAAGGCGAAGCTTTCATCCTGCGTAGGCTGTCATGCCTGGACGTCAGTGACCAAGTTAGTTTTATCGTGTTGGAGGCGGGATCGAAGCCGGGTGTTGGCTCGATTAAAAAAATCATCGACTATGGGTGCGCTTGATGAATCAGTTCAGTGCACTGATATCACTGCGACTCATCTTCCCATCTGGCTAATGCGAATAACGGCCTCGCCTACGTTGATGTACGAAAGAGTTAGTGTGAGCTGACGTGGTAGTTACACGGGCATCCGTAGGAGACGTTTTTGTATTCCTCTTATTCCAATTTTACTTGTAATCGGAAAGATTGTTATTATGACTCACAAATAAAGATATTAAAATAGTAACCATATTCTGGATGGAACACGCTACTCATAAGGTCGCTGAAAACGCCTTGACAACCCGTGACCGGATTAGCTCGTTAAAAACCAAATTATTGTGCAAATGAGTATATTTTTTCAGTAGATCAATTCGGTTCAAAGTGTTTATTTTGACAGAACAAACAGGGCTAATTAATCAAGAATGTTCGGATTTAGAAGAACCTTCATTAGAAGTTTTCCACAGAGTTTGTCTGAAAATAAGCGTGCCCGCATCCGTACTGAGCATTCAGAAAAGCACCCATCTGTTTCTTCAGGTAGTTCCGCATGCAGGGAGTGCTTTTAAGTCTGGAGAACCGGCTGGGCATGCCGAAGATCCAACACTCGTAACAAAAGCAAGGTCGCCAAAACCTGTTCAAATTCAGTTTTCATCGCTTACATGCGGGTATCAGCTACACTCACCGGTCTTCCACGGTAAGAACATGAATTGTACCGCTTGCTGCCCTAGTAATGATGCTATATCTGTCCAAAGTGAATCCTGGTATTCTCACATTCATGTTGCCTGGGTGAGTGCAAAATACCAATGGGCTGCTGCACCTCGGGCGATATTCTGATAACTTCTTCACAAGACTATAACACTCCCTTGTTCATCCAAGCGTGACTGATTTGTTTATCTGCTAAGATTATTGTGAACTGGACCAGTTTGCACTAGTTCATGTTCACAACCGAAGAATCCCATCGTATTTGCCAGCAGAGGTAACTTTCGATTGCCAGGCAAAGCGCAGCCAATTCAAGTCAGACCGAGTCGTCATGTTACCACCACCACCCCCCCCCCCACCACCCCCAACCACCAACCACCAACCACCAACCACCAACCACCAATCACCAACAACACAACAACAAGGCAGCAACAACAACAAAGACGGCACCAGTAATAGCTGCACCGGGTAACAAATACATGGGCAAATACAAGTTGACTTCAGCGCAACCCGCTTAAATTACAGAAACGAAGTATCACCCCACCATAGCTGAAGCTGGTATGGTACCGGTGAATGGAACTAGGGGAACTTGGCCTTATCCAGTAAGAAACATGAGGTAAAGCGCACGGGTGTTCGTACACTGTTTGTTTCGTCAATGGGGCACGCGTCACCTTACCACCGACACCACCACCACCACCACCACAATGAGGTATACTGAGAGGGGCATAAGAGCAGATTGAACCCCAATCAATACATATGGCATTTGGCCCAACAATGAGAAGGATAAATTATACCGGTTCAGTACTCCGTATGGACAAAACCTACCAACTGGTTCAGTTTTTGAATTCCAATCATTGGACGAGACAGGATTACTTCCATCTTAGTAGTCATGGGACTTGACTGGTGAAAGAGAATAATACTGTAATGTAAGAAAATCTATAAATCGACCCTGTCTTTCCTGACTATTTCAGATTTCTCACAAGATAGGCACTTCACACTCAGAATGGAGTTAACCAAATGACCATGCTTTCTGATGATGTAGACTACACCTGGTCGTAAATTACACTTCCATCTTACACCTTCTCCTATAATGAAGTTGACTGTTCAGTTTAATCTCAACAGAATGATCTTTTACCAGTAATAGGATCGCCTCTAGCAGGACAGAGTTCACACGTTTTCAAAGATATAATAGATTTCTGTTGTGGGGTTTGCGGGATATATGTTTTGTTCACATTCACATTGACCTCGTCTGAACAGTCGTCCTCCTGTTCTGGAATAATTATTCTGGTGAATCTGCACCAAAGGGAGGGGAAAGCACTGGATTCGAGTTTCGCTCTTATTAGAGCTCATCAGCAGTGCATATCCAATGACCGTGCCGGGGTTTGAACTCCGGACACGTGACATGCTAGGCGAACACGTTACCCCCACTCGACCAGCCCACGCTGGAAGCACTTGAATTCTCACGTCTGAACGGTCTAAAGTGTTCATGCTTGAGTGGTACGTCAATCAACGGGGTGTCTGAAGTATTCATTTTTGTTTTGTAAAGTAAAGCACGTCTATTTCGTGAGAAATTGATGTTTCTCCCAGCAACGAGTAGTATGTATGTGATCATAATCGGTCAAACTACATATCTACACACCCATATTGGAATACACGTGATTGCGGAAGGCCACGTCAGATAGATGGGTATATTGTTCTGATTGTTTCCATCTCGAACTTGAGATTCTATCTTGAAAGAAAACCGGAAAAATGGGGGGATGAGATGACCTTAATTGTATTTTGATATTTGACCAATGTGAGTATTTCGCGTAACATTTTCCCGGACGGATACAGGAAGGATTCTTTTGTGCCAAGTCGACTTTGGGCTGCGAGTCAGCTGTTGGTTGATTCCCACCGAACAACTCGGTTGGGGATCAGTTAGATCAGTAAACTCGGAAACAAGCTCATCATATGATTACAACCCGGCACAAAGGAACCACTACTTATGGTCTAACACCCATTTAAAACCATCCCATCACTATCCCAGCACGTGGTGAAGTGCGAAGTCATTGCGTTTATCCCACCCAGGCAGATGTGCCTGCGAGTGCGTGTGCTTGGGTTATCATCAGTCGCGTCAGTAAGCTCGGTCAAGGTCACGTAACGTGCACACGCGTCTAGCGACAACACCGTATTCGTTGTTTCCCATCCTGTCCTAGAAGCTGGAAAGATGCTGTATGATAGCTTCAGTGCACTTGCTGCCGTCAAACGTCTTTTCTGCTTCGAAAAACGACATTTGGTGAGTGTGTTGGTGCACCTCCAGAACAGGTTGTATATTTTACTGTCCCACACACTCGTCTGCTGACGAAAGTACGCTTACCGGACGCACCGGCGAAATGAGTGACACAGCGCGACGTTCGGTAAGTGACTAATACACCTGATCCCCAAATTTGATGGTGTGGATAGACAGCTGACCAATCAACTATTCAATTATTTTCAAAAATCGCTAGTCCTTGTTGATGTCGGTCTGACCGTTCAGTCACCTACACAAACCACTTGAAGAGGTAAACCCAAACCTGCGTAAATGAGTTGTTTTTTTTTAAATCTTGACAGGGCATCCTACTCACTGGTTTGTTGGAAACCGTTCGACATGAAAATATAC